AAGTTAAAATTTAAAAAAAACAACAAAAAAACAGCTGTAGTTTAATACTGAATGATTGAGCTTTGTTATCATAAGCTTACTTACAAGATAATATTAAAACAGGTACTGGTAATAGCTACTCAGGATAGCTAGACTAATCGAGCTGAGGAGCTGCTAAGATTAATTAAGATATAGTAGGCCGTAGTTATAAATGATAATAAGGTACAAATCATATATAGTAGTATATGATCATACAGATAATGAAAAAATATATAGATGTATTATTGATAATTGAGAGAATGATAGAAATACTTATTCAATGTAATTTTATAATTATAGGTATATAATATGGATGTAATATAATTGTTATCGATCTTTAATGAAAAATGATTGAATCTTTTTATATTAGATATAGATATATATTGTAAATACAATACAGAAAAAAATATGACAAAGTTAACAGATAATCATGGAATAAACTATAAATATACATGATGCTTATTAGGGATTCTGGAGGAAATTAATATCTTTGTAAACAAGAAATTTTCATTTTTACTTTGAAAGATTTGAAAGATAATGATTTGATTTTTTCATCAATGTTGTTCCAAATGTTTGGAACAATATAGCTTAAATTAAATTTTCCATAATTAGATCTAACGGCAGGAGATGTCAGTATTGAGAACCACTAGTTAATCAGTATATGAACTGTCATGACGACTACCATAGTRCTAGCCCTCATAAAATAAAATTTTATCAGGGACATAGGCCATCTCGACCAACCAGTACGATTTTGTCTTTTTTTATGCACCATTACCTCAACTTTCAATGTCACTTTATTAGTGCTTCTTGACCTTAGTATAGCTCGGCTTTTGATACTATTGATCATAGCTAGTATTTTGATATCAAGACTGCAGTATAAGTTTGGACTTGATGGATCTGTACTCTGTTGGTTTAAMTCTTATTTATCTGGAAGATCATTTAAAGTACTTGTGAATGATGTCTTGTCTGAAACTTTTGATCTGAAATGGGGTGTTCCTCAGGGCTTTTGTTTAGGTCCGCTGCTTTTTGTTTTATATGCTAGTAAACTTTTTGAAATTACTGATCGTTATCTTCCAGATGTCCATGTTTATGCTGATGATACTCAGCTTTATCTCTCTTTCTCTCCAAATGATATTGATGAACAAATGGATGCTCTTTCTGCTGTCGAAAATTGCATAGCTGCAATTAGGTCTTGGATGTCTGAGGATAAACTTAAACTCAACGATGATAAGACTGAATTGCTTTTAGTTGGTACGAAGCATCAATGGTCTAAGGTATGTCTTAGAGGTATCAAAATTGGTTGCGTTGAGATATCTCCAACTTCCAGCGTTAGAAATCTTGGCGTATTGTTTGATTCCTGCCGAAATATAAGTGAGCACATAACTAAGTTAYGTAGCTCTGCTTTCTTCTATATTTATAACAGGCGTATTAGAAAGTACTTATCTAGGAAAAGTACTGAGACCTTGGTGCATGCTTTTATTTCTAGCAGACTAGACTATGGCAATAGCCTACTGTTTGGTATCCCACAATATCAGATTCAAAAGCTTCAGGGAGTCCAGAATCTTTCTTCTCGTGTGATATTTTCAATGCCTAAATACTGTCACATCACTCCACTTCTCTTTGAATTAAACTGGCTGCCAGTGAACCAACGAATTGTGTTTAAGATCTTATTGTTGGTTTTTAAGGTACTCAACCAATTGGCAGCGAGCTACTTAATYGATCTTATCTATGTGATGCCGTCTTCAACTGATAATCTTAGGGGAAATGGCCATGACATTCTCCTCAGTTATCCTCCATCTTATTCTAAGAAAACTTTCGGTGGCCTAAATTATGGAACAATCTTCCCCTTGAAGTTAGATGTTTCAATTCTATTTCATCTTTTAAATCTAAGCTTAAGACATTTTCATTTAGAAATTATTTGCATTGATATTTTTCTTATTTGTATGTATATTTTTATTGAGTTCTTTTACTAATCACGTATGTATTTGAATTTATAATGATTTAGTTTATCAGTTGTTTGTGATGCGCATTTGAATATTTATGTAGAATTTGCGCAATACAAAATAAAGTTATTATTATTATTATCATAACTGTGTTGAGATGTCAGTTTGAAGTTCATTAATGTATGTCATATAGTATAAGACAGTATGTTTATAAGATGTTTATTAGATTTTCATCGGACTAAAATGAGATTTCACACGTGTAATTGAGAAGCACTGTAAGAGGTAAAGATTTAATAAAAACCAATGTTGTTCGACTTTAAAGGACCATTTTCTCTACTGAGCCAGGAGCGTATTGACGACGTATCTTCGAGGTCAAAATGTCTTTGAGTGGAGTACTGAAGAATACCAGTGAAAACTTGGAAATATATAACGAATGGGATTATTTATGGGTACGAACAGGCTTTCCTCTAGCGTTTGCTATTACAGTTGCAAACTCCATCGCACTTGCAGTTTTCGTAAAGAAGACATTTCTTGTCAAGAAGTCCAGTTACCTCCTGGTGAACTTGACCGTCGCAGATTTACTGGTTGGAATTTCTGGCATTGTTCATGGTGCTTTCATATTGTCCTCTTCTCAACCAGATAGCTTGACTTTAATGGCCGTAACTGCATTGTTTTCTTTTGCATCAATTCTTTCTCTAACTGTTATATCTCTTGAAAGAGTGGTKGCAGTCTTCTGGCCATTTCATCATCGCCTTGCTAAGTCAGCTCATTATTTCCTTGTCATAGCAGTTGTGTGGTTTTTTACAGTCACTCAAGTAATACCTATATTTCTTATTCATCATTTTCCCCAATTTTTCGATATCAAACAATTTTTGCCCTATATACGTGGTTGCATAATACTTCTTCCCGCGGCGTCACTTGCCATTATTGTCTTCTCATATCTCTCTATTTGGGTTAAACTGAAATTCTTCACCAAGTTTCGTCACTGCAGAACAATCCAAGAGAACAGTAAATTAAGCAAAACGCTCTTTATAGTGACTGTCGTTTCACTAGCCACTTGGTTGCCAAA